GGACTTAGACCAAGATTTAATATTAACTGTTAAAGTACCACAATTAATTGTACATTTAATTAAAAGAATCTTAGATTCAGATCCATTAAATCGACCAAAAGCAGAAGAAATTGAAAAAATTTTAATACACATAGAATTTTAAACCCAGTGAAGTAAATAATATTAACAGTATTTCATCAAATAGTACTATACCTTCAACTAGTTTGGGAAAATTAGACGAATGTAACTTTGTGTTTGTATTTTCTGTTATTAGAACTAATGCATAATCTTAATTTTTTGGTTTATAGGACACTTTTAAATTGTAATATTACATAATTCAGGAAAAAAAATAATTTTGTTCATATATAAAATTTAAAAAAATCTCTTAAAAAAAATATGTAAATTTCCAACAGATAGCAAAGTTCAGCTTGTAACATTAAATTTTATTGTTAAGTTTTATTTCACGTTTATCTGATATTTTAGAAGCGAACAACTCTTGTCTTCGCACATATAGAAAAGTGTTTAATTTATTAAACAAATATTTTTGATGTGTTGACATATTCATATTACTTTATTAGACCCAGATATAAAGGCTGGAAAATTTTTGAATTGATATCGTATACCGTTTGCTGAAATATATTAAATTGTGTCCGAAGAGTAAACAAATCAAATCATGGCCAAATCATGCAATCAATCGTGAGCTTTCAGCAATGATTTGGATACGATTTCTCATTAAGACGATCGCTCACTAAATTATCGGACTGGAATCGTAGTACAGACAATTTATAAAATATTAGTTATAACATATTGTATTAGATGATTTATTTTTTCTTGGTTAATAAATTATTTGTTCGAAATGGTGATGATTTATTAAAGTTTTATTAGGTAAGTCATTGTAATTTACAAAAATTTACTGTTGAAGATTATCGAATTTGAAAATGTTTAAGAACATGTGGTAATGAAATAATAAAAAATTTTAAACAGTTGTAAATAAAATATAAGTTTCTAACGTATGACAATCAAATCCCACATTGGGAATCACCTAAAAAAGAAAAAAAGAACTGTTAACAACAGTTCGTTAAAATAAAAAATTGAAACTAAAAAAAGCACCAACCAAGACGTGTGTTCAAGAATGAAACCTTTTTTTTTTTAAAAAAAAAATTGAATTATTAAGCAACCATTCATTAAAAATAAATAAATAACCAAAACATGTTTACCAAAATCTCACTAAAAAGTCGTCTAAAAGCATAGTTCCTTGATAGGGAGGGGTTGGTGGTTTGAGTCCACTTGATCCCATTATAAATTTATTAAGCATATTGCTAAAATAATATATAATAAAGTATTATATAAAGTCGTCAATGTGATAATTGCCAAAAATTATTCTCAATCTGAAATTTGTCAAGTCGGGAAAGAAAGAAATTTTTTGCCAAAATTGTAAAAAGGACAATAAAGTGTGTAGTAATTATGGAAAAAATGTTGCACTTAGATGAAGGAAATTTACGAGAAAAAAAACCAAACAAGCTCAGGTTGGCAATCAAAAATATAAAAAAAGGTGATTAAAAAACGAATCTGTCTGCTGACCTATTTTATCAGTACCAAAAGTTTTATAGAATTCAAAAGTGGCCATTTTATTACTCTCCTGCTGGCACTGTTTTAGTAATATTTTCAGAAAGGGTTTGAATTAAATTATTGAGGTAAGTTTTCGCCTAAAAAAAAGAATAAAATTGTTTTATTAAAATGGAAGCTTAAGAAAATAGCAAGATACCAAAACTTACACCTTAAAAACCGTCTGAAATTTTAAAAAAAGAAAATAAATAAATGTTAGTAATAGAAAATTAAACAAAAAAAACAGAAAAAGAAAAATTGGACACACCTTCGTTTCTAAAGAGAACCATCGAAACCTAAAAAAAGAAAATCACCAGGTCCTTAAAAAAAGAAGGGTCAAAGATCTAAAAAAAGAAAAGATGAAAGTTAAGAAAATAACAGAAACAAAAAAAGTGAAAGAACAGGTAAATTCCAATATTTTCACGAAGAGAACTGGTCCAGAGCCCACGAAATTGGCTGTTCTCTAAAAAAGATATTAAAGGACGTTAGGAACTAGCATTCTTAACGAAAAAATTTAAAAAAAAATAAAATTCCTCTTCCCCCAGCATACCTTGCATCTACTTCGGTTTGAAAGGTCCAGGGAGCCGTTCTCTAGAAAAAAGATAGTAAATGTTCATAATAAAAAATTTAAAAAAATATTCTTCCATTGCATACCTTACGTCCATTTCATCTTGAAAGGACTAGAGAGCCATACTCTTTATAAAAAAAATTAAAAAAGAACGTTAGCATACGTTCTTAATGAAAAAAATGCAATTTTTTTATAAAAAATTTCAAAATTTACCTTGTCTTTTGGATACACAAAAATAAACAAAAAAAAAAAATATAAATTATATAAAAAAAAATTTTTTTAAAAATATATAAAAAAATAAAATTCAACACACATAAATTGAATAAATTAGAAAAGGTATCTTAAATGAAGTAATACCGTCTATCCAATCAACAAAATTAATATACAACCCTCAAGAAGATAATGGAGATAACTAATGAGTTGAGAAAAGAAGAATGAAAAGTAAAAATGGAAGTTGAGATGAAAAAAATTAGGATGGTTGGAGAGTGGTTAGCGGGATTGAATGTGATGGAAAATAATAATAATAAAATACCAACGTGAGAAGAGTTCCAAGATAAAATATGGTAATAAATGCAAGCTGTTTGACAAGACTTCCATAAAAGAAGAAAAAGGAAGACAAAAATGTGTAAAATATGCGTGCTAAGTTAGAATAAAAAAATAAATCATATATATAGATATAGAAATAAGAATTGATAAAGTAGTTTAGGGCATATTTACAGATAGTAGGTGTAATTATCAGAAAAAAAATAAAGATCGCTGATCTGCTGTCAAATATTTCAGACTACTAGTTTCTGCAGCTTTGGATGAGTTTCACTTCCAGAGAAAATCGGCAAAATCTAAAAGAAAAACTGAAAAAAATGAATTGTTAGTAAAATTCATTAAAAAAAAACTAAAATTAATTTATAAAAATCTCATGACCCAAATACAACTAAAAAAAAGAAAGAAAACGAACTGTTAATCGTTTGTTAAATAAGAACAATTAACAAATTCAATTCACCAAAATTTCGTACCTAAGAGCCGAAAGAACAATTTAAAAAAATTAAAAAAAAGTCTAAAAAATGTTTGTAAGGATTTTTCAACAGAAAGTATGAGAAGTGAGAAAAAAGATAAGGGGAAGGGAAAGGGGGAAACAAAGAAGGAAAGATACAAATATTAAAAAGTTAAAATAGGCTTAGATCAAATGTGCAATGATTATCGTGATACATTTGCTTTCTTGATTTAATCAATTTATTTGATATATTGTATATTATAATACTACGATTTTTAGGTGAAACTCAATAAAATTTCAAAATATCTATTACATATATTTAATTTATGGTAATGAAATATTGCGTATTATTATTAAATTCACGTAGTTGATAGGCTAATCAAATACGATCGCATGACTGATTAGTCCCGTATATAGTGATCATGTGATCATATGCAAATATATGTAAGTTTGACATTTTTTTTTTTATATATAAACTTTATTATAGCGAAACACAATCCCAACTTATTAGCATGGCATCAATAAAGTATCTATCTATAAACAAATACAAATACAAAACAGAAAAAAAAAATTAAAACGAACTAAGACCTATATGCATAAAACTTGGCGACACTGCGCGTACCTACATCCCGTTCAGGACACAAACTTTTTGGTCTTTTGTTGTTTATGCATCACTTTTTCCTAAGCTCACGAGAATCTAGCAGCGAATCCGAAAGGAGCCTAATCTCCATGCAGACGTTACGCGTAGTAGATAATAAAGTGGCGGTACCCTGATTTATCATCCCATGAATGATGAATCTATATAAAAACTAATACTAAACCTATAGGATTCTAAGTTCTAACATATTTAAAACTAAACTAAACTACCCTACTATTCCTGCTTTACCTCCTAATTAACAGCCGACTAAGAACATCTCTCCCCCTATAACCCAGATATTCGCGAACTCCTGATTTATTTGCGACGTTTCGACCGTTTCGTTCACCCCCTATTGTTAATTATAAATTTGTATTAACCGTGAACTCCTCCTAACGTCTTAAACCTCGTTCACCTCTATATTCTCATTATTCGTGACGACCTTGCTCCTAGCCCATAGTTTCAAAGCATCCCTATAGTGGTATCCTTTTTTTCATTCTAAGTCTTGTGATGGCAACGTCACGTGTTCAAAATAATCCTTGATTGGCCGAAAGTCTCCACGAGATTTTTGTTGGAAACGTGAAAACACCTGACTTCAACTATGTGAAGACGTCAACCGATGCTACAACGATCTACCAATAAAATAATTGGTTCTTTGAGACAACGAAAATTTCTATTTTGGATCATCCTGCATTCCACAAGTGCCACGACTGCCACGTGCAGACGTGCTATAAATTTGTGCTGCGCCGCAAGGCGAAAAATTCCCAGGAAACCAAATTTTCAAAACCCAGTATACGAAAGGCCGTCGTGAAAAAATAATAATACTAAAATTTTCCAGTATTTTGTTTCGTTAACCGTTTGTTTCATCGCCGCCAAGGTTATATTTGCGATATACATCAAACTCTGGCTTTTCTGAGTTCTATATTTTGCAACCGAGACGAAAACGAATAATTTGTTGTAACGAGCCCTTTGCATATCAACTATTCACGAAACTGGTATCAAAATGTACCTAAAAGAGAGAATAATCAGTTGGTAATGTTTGTCTGGTGCTAAAAAAATATCATTTTTTCTCGTAAAGATTTGATCGAGGGATCGACGGGGGAGAGTTTTTTCCGTAAGTTTGACATTAATTTGTGCGACAAACGGAGTTGCCGCTCCTAATAAATTCGGCGTAACCTTCTAGTAATTTCGGCATCCCTTTATTTTCCTCTCTCTTTGCATTTAACATGGCATGTTCAAAATTTTTTTCAGGAGATTTGTCTGAGTTATTAAACGAAGTCATACAATATTTTCATTATGACTATAAAACATTACATTCATGCATATTAGTTAATAGATTATGGTGTCGTTTAGCAATTTCATTATTATGGGAAGATCCATTTTCAATTAAATCCCCTAAAAATTATCGTTTTATTGAAATTTATTTGTGTAATTTAAGTGATGACGATAAAACAAGATTAAATGAATATGTAATCCATAGTGGCTTATTTTCTTCAAATACATTATTTAATTATCCTAAATTTATTAAACATTTAGATATATATAAAGTTTATGATTCTATTGAAACGTGGGCATATACAAATTTACTAACTTCACCAACTTCACAAATATTAGACTTTATTATAGAACTTATTTTTAGGTCATTATTTATAATATTCATTGAAAATGAAGTAAATTTGCATAGTTTTGGAGTTATAGTAGATGGCTATAAAGAATTTGAATGTTTTGGTGCGGCTTTTGAATTAGTTTTACAAAATACGAATTTCGTTTATAATATTAAAAGTTTAACACTAGATTTTGATAGTGAAATAACTGATAATATAACAAAATTTTTGGAATTTCTCTGCTCTAATTGCAATTCAATTTCATCACTTTATTTTCTACTTCCAATTATAAATAATGGTCATCCAATAATCAAAAAAAATTTATCACAAATGATTAAGCTACAAAAAAATCTTAAAAAGATTTCATTTAGTCATAATTGCCCTTTGTCTCTACTATTATTATTAAAAAATTCTAATTGTTCAAATACATTAAATACAATTATATTTTATTCTATTGATTTTAAAAATATGAATTTTCTAAGTGAATTATTTAATCAATTGAATGTTTTAGAATCAATTCATATTGTTGATTGTTATTCTTTAGATTCTGGATTTATTCAACAAATTAATAATGTTACCAAACCATTTAAATTAAGATCTTTATTTTTGGATAAAATGGATGAATTATTAGATCCATTAATACAAAAATCTGGCAATTATTTAGAAAATTTTAAAATTACAAAGTGTAAATCACTACAATTATCACAATCACTCGAATTATATTGTAGCAATATTAAGTTTTTATATGTTGTACTACATTTTAAGAATATTAATTTAATATTCAATTTAATTAAAAATATTAGGCAAAATCTTAATTATCTTATTATTAAATCTGATGGTAAAATTAAATTTAGTTCAAATTTATTACAAAATTTAGGACAAATTCTTCCTTTTAAATTAGAATATTTGAATTTGGTTCTTGCAACTAAGGGAAGTGATTTAGAAGTATTCTTAAAAAGTTCTCAAAATACTTATATTAAAAAATTGTTAATTAGAAATGATGAAAATAGTCATGATATTTTACCTTATATAAAAGAATATATAATGAAAAAGAAAAGAGTTAAATATTTAGCTATTTTAGAACTTTTTCATAGAGAAGTAGTGGATTTGTTTTCTTTGAAAGATGAAGTAAAGGAATTTCAATTATATGATATTCAAGTTCTAAATTATAATGATTCGGCTATTGGTGTTTATAATTTTATAAAAGAAACTTATTAGTTATTTATGCAATTTATATTATTTTATATTATCACTATATATAAATAAAGCTAGTAGCTTTAATACTTTAAATTCTTAAGCGTAAAATTGAATAGTAATACAGTACGGAAGATTTAAAAGTTCGTTTCTTTTGTACAAATATAACAACTTGAAAATTTAAATATAAAGAAATAGCATAATAATATCTAACTGAATTATTTATAATTAGAAATTTAGAATATATCCAAAAGAATTTTTTTTTTAAAATGATAAATGAAATTTTTATATTTATCTCCAAAATAAATTTGAATATTCAAATTTATCAACTTTTTAATTATTTTATTGAAAAAAAAATATTTGTATTTTACTATTTTACTTTGACCGCTCCCATCCATTTTTTAATTAATTGTAAAATATAACGATAATTACGAAAAGCTCACTTGTAAAGTTTACTGTTCGGAATTAATAGTGAAAATTGTGAACTTTACCATTTAAATCTTTTGAAATTGTAAAATAGAGTATCTTAAAATAGCATGATACTCAGTTTCTTAATTTATTATAACATTACAAAAATAAATTATTAACCATTATCATTATATATGAATGGCTACCTGCTAAACAATTAAATTTGCAGTTTATGTATAGCAAATATGAATGATCATCCAAATTATTAGTAATATCCATTCAAACAATGGATCCTAACTCTACATATTCAACAAGTATTACCTTCTGACTTCAATAATTTTTGCTCTATAGATTGATGCTTGCTTAACCGAATTTGATGTGACGTTACCAAAACGTGGAAATTAGCAATTCATAGTGCTCAAATCACGCCAGAAGGCATAATCCACTTCATTCTTACCTTCTGTAATAAAGTCGTCTAAAGTTTGATTTGTTAGATATAACGAATTTCTGCATTGTTTGTTACTGCTAACTTTCTGTAATAAGTTGCGCGAATAGCAGCAGCAGTTGAACGATCATTTAAATTGCTTGTTTCTTAATTAAAACTTTCATTTTAAAGTGAATAATGGTAGATTTTTAAATCATGATAACAGCGTAATGATATTGGACTAAAACTCTGATTTTCATATATGACCAAAAATAATTTGATAATCATGATACAGATTACCATACCGCTATCCATCCATATACTTACTTTTTAATGGAAAGCTTTTTATTGAACAGATGCAATGAAATGATGAGAGTCCTTTTCACTTTCATCTCGATCTTTATGCCGTTTGATGACGAAATTCCTGAAAATTTGACGATCTTGTCAATCTCATCTGGTTGTTATATAGGATCCGTTATTTTAACGGATATTAATAATTTGAATGATCATTCATATTTACTATGCATAAACTGCAAATTTAATTGTTTAGCAGGTAGCCATTGTTTAATAATTTATTTTTGTAATGTCGTAATAATTAAGAAACTGAGTATTATGCTATTTTAAAATACTCCATTTTTACAATTTCAAAAGATAAAGTTCAAAATTTTCACTATTAATTCCGAACAGTAAACGAGCTTTTCGTAATTATCATTATATTTACAATTAATTAAAAAATAAATGAGAGCAGTTAAAGTAAAATATTAAAATTCATATATATATATTTTTTTTTAATAAATAACTAAAAAGTTCATAAATTTAAAAATTCAAATTTATTTTGGAGATCTCACTGTTGGTTTATAGGAAAATCACCACCATATTAGATTTGACAATACTGTCAACTTAAAATAAATTATCGGAGTTAGATGATGAAAAAGAATTAAAAATCAGGGAACTTTTTATAAATAATAATCATAAAGGTATAGTTAAAAGGTTCGCCGATTATCAGTTTACTACTGCTGTAGCTAGATGAAGTGTGCTTTAAAATTTTATACTTTTAGTTTGTCATTTGTTCAAAAAATTTGATAATAAAAATAATAAAATAAAGGAGATAAAATCATATTGAAGATTTATTAAAAATAGTGAAGTTACAGTACATGTAAATTATTGTATCTCAATAATATTCTCATTAAATGTTAGTCCATCCATTGAAACTACGACATGATAATATTTAACTCTAGTAAATATTTTAAAATTTTCATGATAATTCCGTCTACTAAGAAGCAAGGTACAATTAAAATTTTAAGATTTATAAAAAATTTTAGAAATTGTAATTTAACTACAACAATTTATTGGTTATTTCCATGTTGCAAAATGAATACCATAATCACATATTCATGGTAATTTTATGTGATTTTTGAAAATGAAAATTGTTGAAACTATTTTTGGACATAAATCAACATCACGTGTTATTGCTTAACTATGCTAAATGTTTCATAATTTTCTATTGTGAATTTTGATGGAATACCTATATTAGGGTAAGTGGTACTACCAGCATAATAAGACCAATTATTGGAATTCTTGCTATTTAAACTTCCCATACTGGGCCCTTGATTATTATAGCAATAAATAGCACTAGCACCGGTCAGGTTATTTATGGGACCCAATTTTACAGAAGAAATATCATTTCCATCTGTAAAATTAAATAAAAAACTATCTGTAGTGTTTTTTTGACCACAATTTCCACCCCAGTCAAGTGGATTATATCCTCCAATTAATTGTGTTGAGCCTTTAATTTTTGCTATCCAAATAGTAGCACCTTTATTATCACAATTTTTATGAAATGATTCCGCATTAAATCCATCCTGACCTGAACGATATAATAACTTAAATTCGTAAGGACAATTTTTACTATTATAATATGAGGAATCTTTTTTATCAATCCATGATGCAAAAAGAGAAACATGTTTTGATTCAATTAAGGTTGAATCAAGTTTAAACTTTAGATATTTTCTTGGAGGTGCTACATTAGTTTTAGGTTTCATATTAGGAACTATATGAAATTCTAAAAGATTATGAATCAAATCTTGTGGTAAGATTTCCTTATAACAATAAACCTTGTAAAAAAAATCTGTAGGGCTAATATTATAAAATCTAATCAAAGGAATAAATCTATGTAATGATCTCTCAATCTTTGTAATATCTTCTTTGCTCCATTTTGTCGGATCATTTTTAATATTTTGTTGAGTAAAGCACCACCTTAATAAACTTTCCCAAATCTCAATTTCATCCATATTTAAATCATCCCTTTTTAATAATAATTCTAACAAAGGAGCTTTCAAATTAGTGAAATTATCAGAATTAAATAAGATTTTAGGATCTTCACAAACTTTTTCAAGACAAAAATTCCATAAATCCGTAAATGTTTCATGTTGATAAACAGTTTCAAGAATACCAGTTGGATTTTGATGTAAAAATTCAGTTTGATGATTAATCAAATATTCTTGAATATGAGAAATTAATTGTTGAATATTAAGTTCATCTACTGCTATTAATAATTTCAATACATCTGATCCTTGCAAATTTTTCAATTCAATATTTCCGCTATAAATAAATCTAAATATATTTAAATAATTAATATTTACGGTTATAGAATAATGTTAATATATTAATTAATTATATAAATGTTTACGTTACCTAAGAATGATGTTGAATAAATGAGGTGAAATATTTGGTTTTCTAAAAATAAATTTTCCGTCTATTTTTTCAGCCCATTCATTAGAAAATGCAGTACGAAAATATTTTGACCTAATACATAAAATATTTGAATGTGCATGAATTTCTTTAACATTTGGTTCTTCTCCAGCATAAATAATAACATCATATCCTATTTCTGTTTCAAAAAGTTTTTCGTAATCGTTAGATAATTCTACTAAAAATTTTGACGACATTTTTTTTTAAAAAAAAATAATAAGGGTGCAAAAATTTAAGTTTGAAGTTTCAGCCACATGTGAATATTAATAATAATTGCCAATAATTGCCTAATTTGAGTAAATCTGTGTGACATGATTAGCGTAGCAAAAAAGCATAAAGGGTTAGCTTTAATGCAGCGATTAATATATTATTGGATATTGTATCGAAGTAACTCAATAGTGAATACAGATTTGTCCATTTTTTAACTTGGAAAAATAAATTTGATATACTACTTATTTTATCTTTATGACTATATTAAATAATTTACTATAAGTAAACATTATTTTTATTAGTTAAATTAACGAATTTATTGTTATAGAATCATGTTGTGGATGATAACTGATTTACCACCAGGATACTATGTGACCTTCAGTCACCATGATATAGTAATATTCTGTATGTGAAATCAAGTTATCATCATATCCGAAGTAAGCATTAGATATTTCTTATATTATCTGTATTATTTAATGAAAGTGATTGTAATAACATAAAGTGTGCATAATTATTTATAACATAATTGTAATAAGACATCATTAATATATTCAACATAAATTTTTTCACATGAGTTATTTTCCACGTTGAGTAATTTTAATGTAATATAAGATTATAATAAATTTTTATAAGTATGTGTATAATTATTATTTACAAAACATAACTAGTCATCAACCCATAAGTGAATATATACAATATAACATATAATCTGGCCAATTTCCTATATCCTATTTTAATATTCTAATATTTTCTTTGTAGATCAAGCTTTTTTTGAAAGAAAAAGTGTAATATGCAGCACTGTATCTTATAAATGTAGAAAATAGAACTACCACATTATGATAATAGAAAAACTAATGAATAGTTGAAACTATGATATTCATATGCCAGAAGGAGATTTAATCCCAATTTGACTACCCTGATTATACATGACTAAATGAATGATATACTATTTTAAATATATTTTTCTTTTATAAAATTAATTGAAAGGAAGAAAAAAATTAAAAAAAAAATTTGGGGAAAGAAAAAAGATAAAGAAAGAAATCGGTTCAAAAAAGGGAAATTTCCGAAAAAAGGAATCTGAAAAAAAAGAAGTACCGAAAAAAATTCCGAAAAAAATAAAATAATAATTTGGTTCAAAAAGAGGGAAAAAAAAAATTTTAAAAAAACAAATAACAATACAGTCTAAAAAAAGATCAAAAAAAATAATATGAAAAAAATCGGTCTTAAAAGACCGAAACAATATGATTATTTTAAAAAAAATTTCAGTTTGGAAAAAAATTAAACCTAAACGAGAAAACAAATTTTTCGGGTTGAAAAAAAACTAAACCGAAAGAAGAAAGGGATAAAATTTTTTTTCAGTTTAAAAAAAACGAAAAATATCATAATCAAAAAAAAAAATTCCGATTAAGGTAAAATTTCATTAACTAAAATTGTATTAGTTGATTGGAAATTTGGAATGTACAACGGAGAAATAGATCAGGTAAATTCAGGTAATATAATTTACTTTAATAACAAAAAAGATATATTATTACATTACTAATTATTTGTTTTTTTAATAGATGTATTTCAATCAACATTATGTAAGTAATTATATTTATTGTTAATTAACATAATTGATGATATTCATAGTATTTTTTTTTAATATTATATTTATTTATTATTAATAGTTTCAGAAGGTTTTGATTGCCAATTAGATGAATCGGGTAATATATTTGCTCTATGTCTTTTTTTTATTAATTTTATTTATTCAATATTTATTTATTTGTTTTAACATAGATCTTAATGAAATTAATCAAGATGATGAAAATAATATTGAATGAGTTTTAAAATCAAAATAAATTAGTTTAACAAACTTATAATTATTACCTATAGTTTTCACGTATGTTATTTTATATTTAAATAAATTCTAAATTATTATATAAAAATATAAAGTGGATTGAATATTAAATTATATCCAATAAAATAAAATATAATAACAAGTCTGATAATGACCAGTAATAAAAATATTATATATGACTGTAAGTAAAAATATTGAATAAGATTTCTTTTGCCGATAATAATACTTTTTATTTTACCAAATAAAATTTTAACATTATATTAATGTAATAATAGTATCAGAAGGTTTTGATTGCCAATTAGATGAACCAGGTAATAAAGTGATTAGTATCACAAGTCTACTTGGAAGCTAGCCAAGCTGAGTCGTAATGAGCTGAGTGAGCCATGAAAAATTTCAGCTCAACCCGTTTGAGCCAAACCAAGCCACAAAAAATCCAGGCTCAAGCAGGCTCGCAAGCTTACCTAAAAGTAAAAGAAAAGGAACGTTAGTGGCAGCTTCTAAATGAAAAAAAGCCAAAAAAAACACCACACACACATACCCTAACGGCCTAACCTACCATTTCGTGAATTCCAAAGTCTAAATTATCAGGTAATAATTAAAAAATGCTGATCGAGGAATCATTCCTAAAGAAAAAAAGAAATCACATTAATGACGTTCCTACAATAAAAGAAAATACAACACCCCCTCCGCAACTTACTGTTTCACCGAATTTCAAGTCCAGGAGCCGTTCCTAAAGAAAAAAAGAGAGAAGGAGCGTTAGTTACGTTCCTGCAATAAAAAATACCAAATACTCAACTTACATTTTTGAGTTCCCAATCCGAAATTCGAGTCCAGGAGCCGTCCCTAAAAAAAAGGAATGTTAATAACATTCCAAAAACAAAATAAACACCAAATACTCAACTTACATTTCCAGTATTCCAATCTAAAATCCAAGTCCAGAAGCTGTACCTAAAGAAAAATTGCATCAAAAGAAAATTGTCGTGCTCTGTTTTGGAGAAGGAAAATAATAACGGTTTAAAACCGTTTTCGACTTTTCATTAAAAAAATGATATTTATGGTTTAAAAAATCGGTTTAGCGAAAAAAAAGTTTTTTAATAACGATTTAAAAACCGTTTTAATGAAAAAAATAAGATTTAATTAAAAACTTTTTTTTACTGTTAAAAAAATTGGCTTGATGTGAATTGGGACCGTTGCAAAAAAATTTGTGTTCCCGTACTACTAATTTTAGAAATGCTTAAATCGCGATGTTTTATTATGCAAACTGACTTTCATTTATAATTGGCCCATGTCAAAATCTACCCAAATCTAGCAAAAACTCGTTTTTCATTTCTAGGTAGTTTCCGCCCTTTTTACTGAAAAGGCCTCATATTTCTTATATATTAAGAAAAGTAAATTAAATACAATGTATTTTAATTTTAGAAATTTATTATGTATTATGACTGTCTCTTATACACATCTAGATGTGTATAAGAGACAGGTATTATACTTTTTAAAAGTTACATTAGTTAATAACATTAATGTTTTTTTTAAAAAAAATATAAAAAGTAAATACATATATACATATTAACATATATACCAGTCTTGCCTTTTAAAAATATAAAGTATTCTATTACTGAATTTTTTTTTTTCAATCTAAAAAGTTATTCTAAATTCATTCTAATATAAGTAAATTACTTGATCAAAATATATAAGGAAAGTATTATTATTTTTAAATAATAGTACTTTGTGATTCAAGAAAGTTGGAAATATTTAAATAATAAATGTATATTTGTAATTTTTAATTATTTTTACTTCGTCAAAAGAAAACTGGAAATATTAAATAATAAACATATGCATGTAATTTTTAATTATTTTTACTATCTTGCAAAGAAAATTGGAAATATTATATTTCTTCGTCCGACCAATACCAAGCAAAAAAGAAATTTTGAATAAATTTTTAAAAGAATTCAGTAAACGTAATTGTGATTGTTATTATAATTGATATTGTAATTATTATAATTGTAATTGTGAATATTAAGAGTTTGTATTCCAAATTCTTTCCTAATTCGTTCATCACGTTCTTTTTCCTCGGCAAGTATCATTTCAAGTTCTGTAACTTCAGCCTTACTATTTAAAGCAGCTTCAGCTTCAGCTATCATAACAGATATTTTACTATTAAGTCTTTTAAGGATAATATCGTCATCATCATCATCATTATTATCGGATGTATTATTGAAATTATTGCTCATTTTTGAAGATGATTTGTGACGTACAAATCTACAGCCACGACGAACACGGAATTGTCTTTGTCGTGAGGTTGAATTTGTTGGTGAATGTGTTGGTGTTGATTGAGTAGTCGGATAATCTTGTTGCGAAAGTGATGTAGAAATTGTAAATGAAGGTTTAGTTTCAGTCTGAGTAGTTGGATAATCTCGTTGCGAAAGTGATGAAGAAATTGTAAATGAAGGTTCAGTTTCAGACTGAGTAGTTGGATAATCTTGTTGTGAGAGTGATGTAGAAATTGTAAGTGAAGATTTAGTTTCAGTTGAATTATCGTAAGATGGAGGCTCTTCATCTTCAACAGTTTCTACATTTTCATTCCAAGTAGAAACATCTTTTTTCTTATGGACATAGACATTTTCATCATCATTATCATCGTAACCATAATTTTGTCTAGTTGAATGACCTCCAGTTAATATATTTATAGCATCATCGGCAAAATCGGAAGTATAGGTAGCAAGTTCAACAACTTTATATATAAAGTTTGCTACAATTCCAGGACGTATCTTAGAAATTTCTTCTTGTTGTTGTTGGAAAACTTGTATTGAAGTTGACTGCATTTTGTGTTGATATTTTTTTAGAAAAATTTAAGTATATAGTATATATATAAGGTTTATTGGAAGAAAAGTATAGTAAAGAGCAACAAGAAAAAATAAAAAAATCGATTTTTGTTGCTCCGTGCGATGTATTTTATAATATATTTTTCGTGTACGAAAGTAACGGATATTGGTAATAAAAAAAGAAAAATTTTTTTTTGCGTATTTTTAAAATTTTATATGTATGTATGTATGTATATATATATATAATTTTTTTATACATGTATTGGATGACTCAAAAGGTGACTCAATATTACACTTTGATCCGATGTAAATTTCACGATAAAACCATACAATTATCACACACCAAACATCTGATGAAAATTTGATCGGAACAGTAATATGAGTAATAATAATTAATAACTTGTATTTAGGTAATTAAATAATAATTATTTGTAATAATGTGATATAAAATATATATGATATAATATACATATCAGTAAATATATATTATATAATATATATAACAAGTGTTGAAGAATTTTAACATATGTGAAGTTATTAATAAAAAGATTTATAAACATTCTTGATATTTTCTTTTTTGTTGATTTCGGGTTCAAGAACGAAATGCAAAAATGGTGCATTTCACAATAGATGTTGTCCTACCATCAAAGTTTTTTTTGATAGATGTATAATAGAATAAGTATAATACGCATAATACAATATGAGTCAAAATTGTAGTATCATCAAATTTCAGATTTTTTGATTGATAAAATCATTGATCATCAACAATCAATGAATGTATATTTTATTTAGATTGAGTAAATTTATAAAATAAAATTATATGTATTTAAATATTTAATCGTGTATTTGAGGGTAATGAATTATTAATAATTTTTATATCAATTTGATTTCATTTCATTTTAATATCATCATTTAAGTAAATATCATGATCATTTAAGTAAATATTAAAAACATGATATTTTGATTTCCTCATAATAACGGAATCGTTAAATGACACCATAATCTGTTAACTAAAATGCATGAATGTAAAATTGAATGATCCTTTTGGAAATATTTTATAATTTTATATGTTAAAAGGGGAAGTATCAAATTGTTATTACGCCCGATATATTCATTTTTGGAGTGATGATTCCGATATTGTCGCACAATGTGTCAAAATTTAATATTGTTATGAAGTCGCAGTAACTAATTGATCAAATTTATGTCATTGATTTAATACTACTGTGCTCAAGCAGACAAGCACAGGTGTCACGACTGTATGGAAAGCCGCCATGGTCAAAAGTGCGTAGCAAAACATAGCGTGTATACGCTATGTTTTGTAGCGCATATACGTTATATTTCACAGCGGGTTACCCCTGTTCTGTCTGTTTCAGGGGTAACCTGTTGCAAAAAATAGCGTTTAATACGCTATATTTCATAGCGTTATATACGTTATATGTTATGACGGGTACCCGTTATAAGAAACGGCGGGTACCTGTTATATGGAATGGCGGGTACCCGCTATAAGAAACGGCGGGTACCTG